AATATCTAGATTTACAAATATAGAATACAGTGCAGCCTCAATTATCTGAATGTTAAAAGAAACAGTGACAGTGGTGTACTCAAAGAGTTGAGGGAATTTTCAGTGTAATTAATAAATGCCAAGGGACATAACCCTATTTCATATGACTGACATTATACTTTTGCATGAGAAAATAATCGTTTCTTCCTTGTAATGTACACATGAAATTCATGACAGATAAAGAGATTCTCTGTGAAGAAGTTCATGTCTTCAAAGCATTTTGTTTTGTGAGACAAGTGAAAATTTATTAGAGAATCACGAGGTTGATTATGTTCATCAAACATACAAAATAAAAGCGTAAGGATTTGGATCTTCTAGAGACTTTGATGTCCTTTGTAATTTCTGAAGAAATTTGCACCATAAAGGGTTTTTGAAAGGGTGCCATACTGGCAGAATTAGAGAATAAAATTTCTATGTCAAAAATGGTGTTATTCGCACACTGTGATTTTAATGTGCTCTGATGGGGCTAGGTCATTTATGCAGTATCTATTCAGCTTCCACAATTACTCAGTCCTGCTACCAGAAGGATGCCAATACCTTGCCTCATGCATTTTTTTAAAATGGATGCGTGTCTTCTAGAAGCTGGTGGGATTACTTACTCAGTTCACATATATTACAACTCTAAGTCAAAGTGACTTGCACTTACTGTTGATATGCTTGTGATTCTAGCCAATAACCAAGCAACAAAAAGCTCCATATTCTATACTGATTTTTGAAGCTGCTCCTCTCTAGAGGTGAAATATTTTTAAACACTCATTCAAGAAATAATTTAATTGATCTTTCATCTTCTATTATTCCCTCTCCTCAGGAACCAGTGACTGAAATTAACTCTATTCCCACTTCAGCCACCTTCCTTTTATATTGCATGCATAGAAACTTGTCAACCACTGGATTAAAATAGTGAAAGTCTATCTGGGGTTAAATTAGACCATCATTGTGTGAAGTGAAGACAGATTTTGACATATTTTAGTCTGACTAGTCATGTACAAAAGCAAATAGCATAGAGCTGACAATTTCAAAAATGTGAGTGGTTAACTTGAAAGTATTGCGCTTGACCAAACTCCTGATCAGGATTTTTCACAAAAATGGTTTGTAGTTGCTACTGCTTTTGTTATTTATACTTCAAATCCAGTGCAGGAAAATGCTTTTAACTTGAATTTTTAATTCTACAAGGCCAAAGGTGAAATATCTGAGCAGTTATAAATTCTCTTTCAAATAAAACACGTTTCCAGAAAATGCTTTGAATCATAGAATAATTTGGGTTGGAAGGGACCTTTAGAAGTCACCTAGGCCAATCCACTGCAGTCCCCTGGCAATGGGCAGGGACATCTTCAACTAGATCTGGTTGCTCAGAGCCCCATCCAACCTGACCCTGAACATCTACAACTCCTGGGCAACCTGTTCCAGTGTTTCACCACCTCAGTGTAAAATAAATAAATAAGTTACTTATATCTAGTCTGAATCTATGCTCTTTTAGTTTAAAACCATTACCCCTTGTTCTATCACAGCAGCCTTACTAAGAAGTTTGTCCCCATCTTTCTTATAAGCCCCCTTCAAGTACTGAAAGACCTATCAAGGATGATTCTATGCTGAATAATGTCTTGACAAAAGCAAGTTTAAGAGTACTAAAACCAGTGGAAGCTGTCTATTCTTTTTGCCTTTTTAGTTGTTCTTTGATTTCTGTTCAAGGTCAGGCTCAGAATCATTTCCCATAGCTGTGATGTTCATAACGATTCTCATCTGTGTGGATCATCCTACAGCTGGTAAGCGGTGAACTCATGCTATAACCATTGATCAGTGAAGAACTGAATAAGGGAGGACACTAGTATTGCACAGGACTAAAATTGGTTTGGGTGGGTTTCTTGGTTTTTTTTTTCTGTTTGGTTGGTTGGTTTGTTTTGTTTGTGTTTGTTTGTTTTCTTTTTTTTTTTTTTTTTCTTTAATCTCTTCAGGCATTTTGTCTTCCTCTGTCTGTCAGTTCAGTGAATTCCTCTGGTTTCCAACAGCTTAACTGAGTTAGTGCAATTGTGACTTGTATCATCAGCCAAAAAAAGTTCAAGGACTGACCAGCTTGCATGATCATCAGCATGGCAAAATATAATATGGTGGGAAAAGCCAAGAATTATGGGAGAAATAATTTAGACTGACTGGTTAAGAGACATGTAAATTGGGATTTGCAAGGAATGGGAAAGAACCTTGACAAACCTGTTTCTGAGTACTATATAATGAAACTCTCATGTAATGATGTTTGCAAGCCTAAAATGCTGGCTGCAATCTATGTGCAATCCTTAGTTGTGAATATGAGTCTTCCACACTTACCACACTGATACAGCTGCCTTCAGTTAAAATTTGTAAGAGAGGAGAATAAAAATATTCGCCTGTCCAAACAAGATGCCAGGTCGCTTTGGTGGCTGAGAACCAACTAATGCTTACATGTACAGAGATACTCACAGCCTCCCTATTATAAACAACAGGGAATATCTGAGTCCCTTATGCCAGTTTGATCAGTTTACTTACTTAATGTTGCTTTATTAATTTAATGTCCTGCCCTGATAATTTTTGTTGGAAGGTTCCCTGTTTAGTTCATATCACTCTTTCTCCATAAGCGTTTGAGCACTGCTTCCACAGCTAGAAGCACTGTCCCTCATCTCAAAAGGCAAGTTGGCAGTGGAAGTTGCCAACACTAATTATCAATTCCAACAGCAAACATTGTGGGGGGCTTCTGTGTAGCTGTGTTACATATATTGCAAATAGCAAACCATGTTTATAGTATGTTTAGTAACTATGGCAACCACAAACAGATGAGTTTTAAAACATAGGATGGACTCCTTTGCAGATTAATTGCTATGCCTTTTTATCAGGCACCACAGAGTTAATAATCTAGACACATCTATGCACAGAATACTTTCAGAAATACCCCTAAGAAATGACTTGGAAAAAACATGCACTGTAGGGATTCTTTAGACGCTGTGCCTCACTGATGTCCATATTGAAGTTGCTCAGCTGGTAAATAAAACTCTAACAGTCAGCCATTCCGTCTGAGCTCTGCCCATCAGATTATACACTTTGCTACACATTATACACATCATTACCATTAACAAAAATGAAGCACTACAAAATGGTGCAGGGCTGGAGAGATTGTGAGAGGGCTTTCACCCTATTGACATCCATGAGCATCCAGTGTCTTAAGGCTGTTTCCTTGAGTGTACTATTTTAATGGTTGTTACCAGCTAAAGGTTTGCTACCCTTTAGAACAAGTATTTTCAGCTCTGTCTCATGTTCCTAATCCAAAGGTGGCCTTAGTCAAAGGAATTAAAACTATTCTAATAGTATTTTGAGGTGTGTAATTAATTAATGTTGTCTATGTACAGTCATAAACACCTGGTTTTAAATAGGCAGGTACTACCTATGTTTGATCTACCTAATCAAGATAGTTCTGTTATGCCTGATACTGGTCTTTGAGTTTCTTGAATACTTTTTTTATTATGAGCCATATGCTCTTGGTGTTTCTGTGTATTTTGCAAAAGCTTGCATTTACATAATTGGTGGCATTCGTTTGAAGGATACCAAAGGTTGTGCACTGCTCTTCATAAATCATTAACAGTAATATATCTTATAGCTACTTGAGGATTATTTTTTACAAAATATCCCAATCCATTAATAAGATCTGAATAGATTGTTGTCCCTACAGGATCCCACTATCATTCTATTCCAGCATCCACTGGAAGAGCAGAATCGTGGTCATTGTAATAGAAAAAATGGTCCAAAATAAACATTTTTGGAAGGGAGATAATTTAGGCTGCATAAATCTTGGCACCAAGAGAAGGCCATGGTAATAAGGGTGCTTAATATTTGTAATCAAGAGACAAAAATCCTAAATAATTTTAAAAACCACATTTGACATTAATGTCTTGTACATGGTTTCAAATTATAACACTTCTAAAGGTCCTATTCTTAATGTGATTTCTCATTCCAATTTAGTTTGGAAAACTGTATTTCAGTAAAACAAGTAAATAGACAAATGGAACTTTTATCAGCTTATTAGAAGAATTAACAAATTTTGAGTCAAAAGCCTATAATAAAATACATAGGATCAATAATGTTAGACCTGCAGTTGTTCTGTGTTCTTACTAGGCAGTTTTCTATTACAGCTATTGATCGACTGAGAAGTAGGTAAGTATATCATGGGTTGTTTTGGGGTCTTCTTTTATTCTTTTCATAGGTCTACACTTAAAATGTGAAGGATCTCCCATTTGTACCTATTAAGATCATACATACTGTTAAATAATAATGGATGATGAACATAAAATAGAACAGCTGGTTCTGAAGATTGGCAGCTATTTTTTTTCTCAAACAATAAAATCCCTGACCAAAGCATTGAGAAAGGCGAAGAGCCAGAATCTAGGAGATGAGCTCCTGACTAAGATACTGACAATGGGCTTTGCCTACAAACAGCTGCAGAGGAGGAAATTTTGTTTCAATATTATTTATTATTAATATGGCAAGGACTGTTTATTAGAAAAGGAGGAAAAATAAGAAACCAAAATCCCAACCACAAAACAAACTACCCCAATCCTGTTCCCCTCCACTGTAAATACATGTAAAAATACATGTAAATACACTGTAAAAACCATGGCTTTTACTCGGGCTTCAGGTGTCCATGACCAAAAATGAAATGCAAAGCTTCACCATCCAGAAGACAGCTCTTCCTTGTGCCTTATTTGATGTAAAAATTAGCAGTGTTCATGTTCATATGTTGTTCATATGCACAGTATTGCCTCAGACCAAATATCTGGCTTGTACTTAAACCTCGCTGGCTTTCTAGTGAAAGGTCTGATCTAACAGGAGGTTCTGAGCATAGGAGAGCTGCTGATAGAAACATACATCTCACCCAAAGCAGTTGTAACCACTTTCTTTAAACTGAAGAGAAAAGCAGTATCCTTTTAGGCATCATCTGGTAGCTAGAATTGGTTGGCTGAGAAGCTTGAACAGTAGAGTTCACTGTTGCCCTCAGGCTGGAGACATTTAAATTCGCACTGTTATCTCTCAGGGGAGAGCCTTGACTTAGAGTTAACAGCTATTTGGGTCCAAGTAGGGCATTCTTTTAAGGCACTTCTGGCATCTAAACCAGCTCTGCTTCTATCTTGTTGAATCTAGGTCACTATGCAACAAGCAATGCAATATTTAAAAGGGGAACAACCAGCAGAGACGTCATTGAGTTTAAAGTACCCAAGTGAAAGCAGCAACTCCTTGCTGGCAAGCCCTGACAGCAAGACCAATTTCTGCATTTTGCGTTAGAGAGTTCTTGAAGAAAAATGGGAAATAATCCTGAAATCATGGTCTGGAATCCAGAGGTACCTCTGTGCTCAGCATTTACCAGCAGCAGCATGGGGATATTTAGATGCTTTACCAAATGTGTAGAAAGCCTAGAAGCCTCATGGTTTTGAATTTCACTTTGAGGCCAACTTCTTTAAGTACAGACTTTTCAGTGCCTAAATTGCAGGCAGTGAAGTCCTTTATTGGACCTGGCTCCATACCTCTTCACAAGATGATAATAGTTTTATTCCCAGCAGAAACCAGGTGTGTTTACATCTGTGTATTAAATTTAGAATCAAAGAGGTTGTGGGAGAACATATTCCCCATATATCCTATTTCCTTTACAGAAACTGCCCCCTACTATTAATTCAGTCATCCTTAAAAACTATGGATGAGGAAATGTGCTGATGAAATATTATTTTTACAGTTATTTATCACTGACATTGTTATGTATATTTATAGATATTAGAATAAGCATTAAAATAGTAATTACTAAAATTATTTAAAATTAGATTCTCTCCACAGTAAGAAATACATCCTGCAGATGTAAGGGGTCCTGGACTAGAGTCTGTAGACACAGTTCTGTCCTTCACACAGAATCACACAGAATCCCAAGGGTTGGAAGGGACCTCAAAAGATCATCTAGTCCAACCCCCCTGCAAGAGCAGGGTAACCTAGAGTACATCACACAGGAACTTGTTCAGGCTGGCCTTGAATATCTCCTACATAGGAGACTCCACAAAACCCCTGGGCAACCTGTTCCATTGCTCCTTAATTTATTCCAGCATTAAGAACAGTATCTGGTATACTTGAGGTGTTATAAAGACCAAAGAAAGATAGGGATGCAGAATATTGGCTAGAAAAAGTCCTAAGTTAGTCCTAAATTTCCAAAGCTGCTCTATTAAGCCATCTGTTTTGATGAACTGATGAAAAGCCATAAACATGAGATGGTGAGACTTGAGTGGTGTAAATCACTGCAGATTCATTTTTCCTGCAGCTGAGGATCTCTTCCACTTGCTTTGTTATTGTTCAGCCATAAAATTTTGACTAACTCACATTTGTTTACAGCACAGCAACAGCCGAATGGTGGCAGACTAATCATCCCAACCCTCTGCCTGGTCATTCACATTGGCCAGCGGGGGGTGATTGAGGGAAGATGCAGACAGGACAGAGACTGGCATTTGCCAGCAGTAGTCTACCAGACATTAATAGTTTGTAGTACAGAGACTTTCTGATCATAGTTGGGTTTTTCGTTGTTGTTCTGGGTGGGGTGTTTTTCTCTCCACTCTCATATGGTACAGCTTTCTGAAAGCATTAAATGATCACCAGCTGCTAGCATACTCGGATAGCTTTAACCTACCTAGGTTGAGGTAAGTATTAGGCCTCTGTAAAGGCATAGTCCATAGGACCTTTGTATGGCACAGACCAACGGCCTGTGCAGCACCAGCTGATAAGTAGGACAGCTTAAAGTAGAATTTAGACTGTCTGATTAAGCTGTACTGGCTTATGAGACCTGCTTCATAATAATGAGTGATACCTGTGGTTCAGAGAACAGTTGAAACATGGAAGTAAACCCAGTGCAATTATCTCAGTGGTAGTCCATGTTATGCGTGAGCGTTTCTTAAAAGATCCTGTGGGAAGCATTGCTGAAATGCCAGAGGTTAAAGTACAGTATTCCTAGGCGCATGACAGACAGTAGGAGATCAATGGGAGTTTAGCAACATGAGTCCTTGTTCTCACTTTGGGGTTACAAACCTTGTGATACTGAAACCTTTTGACTGACCCAGACTCCAGCAAAGTTTGCCTTTTAAGATGCTGGAACATACGCAATTTTCATGCCACATACCTTTCCCCTCTTCTTTTTCTCAAATATAACAGCTGTAGTTATGGGCCTGTGGACAGGAAGGAGGGATTGATTCTGTGTAATCAGTACAAAACTTCCACTGAGCACTATAAAGCTGTAATTGTAATTTATACCTTTAGCAGAAGAAACTATAATTGCTAAAAATCCGAGTGACTCAGGCTTTATACTTCTTATTCTTTAGCCCCTGTGAATATTCCCACTTATTATTTTTCTTTCAGTACCAGGAATTTGCAAGGTTTCTAATAAAGGGTCACATAATGTTATTCTGCATATAAAGCATTCTTATAACAGTGTTGATCCTTTTGCCTTTCATGCTTTTTCAGCATGTTGTCAGGATTTGCATCTGCCATGAACACTTCACTTAACCTAATTCATAGAAGTAGTTTCAATGTAGTCGGTAGACATACTGTTATCTTCTAGATTAGGGATTTAAAGATCCAGACTTGACCTTTCTGAGCTCAAACCTGTAGAATAACCTGTGAAGAAAAGCTCTTCCCTTTATGTTCATTGAAGATTAAGTAAATGGTTGCTTAGCATCAAATCTGAAGGAAAAGGAGCTTTAGTTTTAGGCACTGTAATTAGTTATCTATGCACTTGCCATGACAGAGAGCTAGAGAATGTTAAAACACATCAGGAAGAAATTCCCCTGCCAAACATCACAGTGGTGGAAGACACCTGGAAACTGCTTTGTCTGTGCCTCATCCTGCTCCAGGGTGTTCTAGCAGCCCAGGGAGACGTAGAATCATAGAATGGCTACGGTTGAAAGTGACCTTAAAGATCATCCAGTTCCAACCCCTGCCATAGGCCAGGACACCTCACACTAGACCAAGCTGCTCAAAGCCCTGTCCAACCTGGCCTATTTTTAGATAGATTAATAAGATTGGTTAGTACTTATAATTTATCACTTGTGTCTGGCTGTTTCAATATTGCAAGCATATGTGGAACTCTTCAGTTTTGAGGTAGAGGTAATCCTTGGTACTGGACTGTAGAGGGAATTCTATTTGTTAGTTTAAGCATCATGACAGATCTCTGAAAGAATGACATTCCTACTAAGTAGGAACTCAATCTAAGTACATTTTTTTTCCCCTCTCTCTAAGTAATGTATTATAAAGTTCAATATAGCCTAAGCATGACAGTATAACTCTCAGACGTCCTTTACTCCTACCTATCCCTCTGATTTTCCTCATATCCACTGTTGTGTTTCTCCTCACATATGTACTCTAATAGCCAATCTTGGCATAAGCTGCCCACTAGAAGCTACTGCAACACCTAGCGAATTACTCACAAATATAGACTTGCTCACATAGGAAATACTTAATCACATAAGAAGGATTTTCAGTGTTGGATTTTAAGAACCTCAGGAAATAGGTATATGAAACATTAGATTACAGGCTATGTAATTCTATTAATGGAATACAATTTTTACTTTCTTTTACTATTGAGGGATGAGAAATTACCCTATGTCATTCTGTTCAGAAAATGCCCCAAAGTCTCTAGCTATATCATACATTGTTTTTACTACATAAATTGCATCTAGGTGCACCTTTACTAACAAGGTTTTTAAAATGACCGAGTCCCCTTTTATTTGACTAAATCCTTGTAGCTGCTATGTAAGTCAAGCTTGCTACAATGCAGGTTTATTCAAACATACCTTAGGAATTTCAGGTGAGCTCTATTTCTCTCCACTTCTCCCAGCAGCACAGAGAGTAAAAATCACAGTCTGAAACTGTGCCTAAGGATAGTGGGAATCACAGTGAAAGACTGTGCTGAACATGTATAGATTTGGGGAGGAGGGGGGGGAGAGATTAATAATAAAAATCCCAAAACTAAATACATAAAAATCTCCAGTTAGTATGCTGACTTTCGAGATATGAGGATCCCTTGGGGATAAGTGGGAAACAGAAGGGTTAAGCATGGAAAAAGAAATAGATGCTGCAGTCTTTATTTTCTGCAGTCAGCTGTTGCAGATTGAATCGGACTTGTAATTTGCTTCTTGGGTCTGGCAAGGAATTAAGCAGCATTAACCAGTCTCCTATGGGGTAGCTAGCACAGGTACAACATGAAGGCCAGATCCTCAATGATGTGTAAGCGCTGTGTGAAATACCTTTGTTTTGAGGTCCATGCTATGTACTTTTCAGTTTGGGCTTTTTGTGTTTTTTTTTAAGACAGCATATACAATACTGACTAGAAGTTCACTATTCCAACACTGGTGAAAAGTGATCATAGAGCCTGATGCAAATAAAAACATTTTCTGAATAAAGCCTAAACATGCTGACAATGCCTTCTGCAGGGGCCTGCTTAAGCCTTTTTGTTTTCTATTCTCTGGCAATGTCTGAGCTAGGGCTCTTGTGAGAAGAGAACTCTAATATGTGCCTCAGTGTGCTGGAGATTGGTACTAGTTTCTTCCCCCAAGTTACTGTCATTCGGGGAAAGAGCTTTAACATGGCTGTTTTGAAAGTATAGTGCCCTTTCAGACAAAAAATTACTAGAAGAGAGAGCATCAACAATCTTGTTATTTCTTAGGGCTGTGTTGAAACAGGGCTGTTTAAACTCTCCAGTGATGTGCAACAGCAGAAGTTGAGAAGCTCTGGAGAACCCAGAAAAAATTTTCATTATAACCAGAAGTGATAGATTACAGTAACACATAGGAACACAATTGCTTTGGATTTAACTTTCAATAATACAAATATTATACAATATAGATAATATGAAAGATTATATCCTGCTATAACCATGAGGTCCATGTATATAACTAGCAGCATTCTTCTGCAATAATTACTCTTGCAAAATGCAGTTTGTTTTGGTTTTGGGATGTATTTGTAAAAATATATGTACTTAAGTACATATAAATGCTGCCTTAAGCTCTGAGTGGGAGAATTTGTGGCTTGTAATATACCTAGTACAGGATGTGTTATGGCTGTCACTTTATGGTTTATAAGAAGATTTTTTCAGTTGACTCTGACAGCTCTTTATATGTAAGCACCTGCTCCTCACTTCTACCAGGAGCAGATTCTCATACAGGTTTGATTTTTCAGCTTGTGAGACATATTTTCCCACAGTACATCAGGAGCAGGCATGCTGAAAAATGGCTTTTCCAACTGGATACAACCATAGCAATAGGTGGCTTCATCCATGGCAATTATCACTTCAAACTCCTTGAAAAATCTCACTTCC